GTTTAAATGATATGGCCATTTGAAATGCAAAGATCTAACTAAGCAAATATTAGACAGTGTTTCACTTGATAAAGTACCATGGAAATAGTACAACCTACCAATTCAATCTTCTGCATGAAACCCACCACTAAGCTACCATGTCTGTATATTTCTTTCTCTCTTTCTTTTCTTTTCTTTTCTTTTCTTTCTAAGCTACATAAACTTGATGTTTATCAATGAAAAGTCCCCACTAATGTAATGCAACAGTATGTGATTTGCATTGGTAACTTGGGTCCACAGCTTTAAAATAAAAGCATTTATAATGTAGCACCTACAGTAACAGCAGCTATATCACAGACCGCTTTTACCATCTGAAAGCGTGAACAAAGCTTCAGATCGCTATTTCCGATGCTTGTGCCAGCTCATGGGTGACTCGAGACGAAACGGATCCCTCCTTTGATTGGCCACAAAAGCGCTACGTGGACGTCGAGCAGCAACAGGTAGAGCGCCTGACCGTTATCATTTCATTCTGACTGCGGCTGTCAGGACGAGAACAGCGCTTCGCGTCAACTATTATCGCTCTCCGCAAGCCTCTTATCGCGCAGACATCGCCACGAGTTTGGTGGAAATTTATTTCGAGGTAAGCAAAAACTTTTTTTCCTCCCCCCAAATGCAGCGATGATTGACAGCTTATAAGACAGCAGCGACAACGCATAGAGACAATGTGCATTTTCGTTGTTCACTTGATGAATCTAGTCTAATTATGTCAGCATTTATGCGTTAATATCATCAATTTCATTATCAATAGTTGACTTTTCTGTATTTCATTATCAATAGTCGATTTTTCAGTATTTTCTGACAAAGATTTACACTTTTGTTAACCTGGGATGAATAAGATGCTACCATAGTGTAGGCTAACTAACTAACGTTAGGGAAGGATATTACACATTATCTAGAAGAATGCCTTGTAATCTAAAAAGACAGATAGTACAGGATGTTAAAACAAGCTAAAGCTTACCAAGTATTCAGAGAGCACTTGAGATGTACTTAATCTTCATATAACATATCATTTTCAGTATCCAGAGTCATTTAAGTCATTTATATAGATATATAATGGTATTTTGCATGTTAATTTCCTCCAATCAAATGTGAATGATAATATCCTAGGGCCTACACCAGGGTGTGGGTAAGTCAAGTATGAAGTCCAAAGGAAAGGGGTCAAAGCGGGGCAGACAGTCTTGGGCAGAACAGGACGACCCAGACTTTACGCTGGAAACAGAGCCAGGTTCCAGCGAGCAGGAGGGTTCAGAGGCATCCGTGAGGCTGGGTGGGACATGGAGAACACTGAGGGGTGAGAGGCACGGCGGTTCCCGCGTGGGTACGCGTCGCAGGCGACTGCACAGCAGCACTAAGGAACGCAACGTCCGCAGGCTGGAGAGTAACGAGAGAGAGAGGCAGAGGATGCACAAACTCAACAATGCCTTTCAGGCCCTACGGGAGGCCATTCCTCACGTCAAAACAGACAAGAAACTTTCCAAGATCGAGACTCTCACACTGGCAAAGAACTACATCAAGTCCTTAACCACAATCATCCTGGGCATGTCAAACGCCTGCCTGCCTCATGCCGAGAGTGACATGGAGACTAACACCTCCCGGCTCCTGCAGTGTTATCAACAGCATCTACAGGAGGAGGGAGAGGAAGATCTGTCCACCTACCTGAGCCACATTCACAGCTTCAGCCAGGGCAGCTAACACACACTGCCACAGACTCAGTGAGCGCTGTGTAAATACATGCATGACGATGAATACCAGCTCTGAAGACTAACAAAAGGGTTTATTTGAATAACCCTGAGTTTACAAGCTAAAGCTGGTCCATAAACAAGCTCATTTATGTACAGAATATGCACCGATTATGTCGTCCACAAACAATGTGGTAGTTATTTGCCATTATCATTGCCAAATTGCTAGCAGTAACTCTTTGGTTTATGAAAGGACACAGTCTGCTGGTCATTAATGTAGTTCACCCCAAAATGTGACAAAAGAAGATGCTTTGCTCATATAGTGAAAGTCAATGGGGTCCAAACAACACGGGACCCCCTGACTTTCATTGTATGGACAAACAAACAAAAAACAATGTTTGTGTTCCATGAAATAAAGTCATACAGGTTTGGAATGACATGAGAGTGAGTAAACAGTAAGAGTTCTCATTTTTGGGTGAACTATCCCTTTAACAGGGTGAGTATTTCATATTAAAAATGCAAAATTTCGGAGCAGATTTCATATTTATTCAGAGGACACAAACCATGCACCTAATGACATTGAGATGAGTTTACTGTACCCAAATAATTACTCTTTACTCTGTTATTTGTCTACATTTAATAATTTAAAACTATATTATCCTTTTCTTTTTCCAGTGGTTTCTCTCATGCCTGCATATAATATCTTTGTATGTACAGAAGCAACCTTAAATAATGCCTTAAAGGATGTCCCACAATTGATGCAGTTTCACATTAGGACTGCAATTATCCATAAATATTCCAAACTTATACATCCACATATACAACATGACTTAGCAGGATAGGAATAAAACTAACTATTCATCCTAACAAACCATTTGGAAAGATTTGTTATAAATACTGTTACTTTCTGAAAATGTGCTGCCTTTAAACAGAATTAAACCACATATATATCTACGAATGAAATAAAATATGCTGACATCCTGAGAAATGTTTCACAACATTGTCTCCACATTTTCAAGTGCAAAATATTGCACTCTTACATCAGTGACAAAAGTGTCTTAAATAAAGTGTCTGAACTTACACTACCATTCAAAACTTTAAGGTCAGTAAGATTTTTTTTGTGATATCTTATGATCACCATTGCTTTTATTTGATCAACTGTAATATATTGTGAAAATTGTCATATGATCCTTCAGACCTCATTTAAAAATGCTGATTTGTTGCTCAAGATACAATTATCAATGTTGAAAACAGTTGCGCTGCTTAATATTTTGAAGGGTTTTTTTCAAGGATAAAGTTCAAAAGTACAGCATTTATTTTTGAAACAAATCTTTCACAATATAAAATCTTTTACTGTCATTTTAGTCAATTTAATGCATCCTTGCTGAATGAAAGTATTCATTTCTTTAAAAAAAAAATCTTACTGACCCCAGATTTTGGAACTGTAGTGCATTTGTACAGTACCACTGTGCTGTCTCAGCTTTGAATACGAACATAATCAATAACCCAATACAAGCAGATGATGAAATTATTACAGACTCTTTTACGTTGTTTTATGGCACTGCAGCCGAGCAGGAAAATTCCCAGAAGCAGGTATTTGTTTAAAAATGTTTGTGTGTGATGTTCAATATAAAATGCTTGTAGTGTACTGTCAGTAGCTTACACTCTGACTTTTTGTATTTAATGCCCCTGGATTCAAATAAAGAATCAAAAACGCAAACGGGCAATTGTGATTTTACCACAGATGAATAAATAAACATAAAATGAAGATCCTCTTACCACAAGTACTATGTAAAAAACATAATGACAAATGATGGGAGTGTTAAAAAGGAAGAGGGCATTACTGGAAGTGGCCTCAATATCCACGAGAGCCCTCAAAACAAAACATCTTCCAAGCTAACTAGAAAATGTGAATTCAGTTGAGGTACAAACAAAAACACAGAGCGGTCTGCATGTGCAGGCGCTTGAGTCACACGATTTGTTAAGTGGGATTGAGTAATTCTGCTCTATACAAGAGAAGTGCTACAGAAGGGAAGAAAACAATTCATGGCTACAGTAGAGACGGTTAGCATAAAGATTAACAGCCCACTGGGTTTCCGTTCATCTCTGGCTGGTTACTGGTTTGCAGTGGACGTGCTGCCGTCTGGTTGCTGCCGTTGTCAGTCAGGGATGGCATCAGGATGCGAGGTGCCTCCATGGCATTTCCTCTAACTGTTATATGATCCCATCCACCCTGAAAGAAACAGATGATTTATCATTTTCTATCCATTCTGCACAGTACTATTAGTAACTAGTGAGCATGAAGACAATGCCAGCAGAGCTCACCCCAATGCCATAGTCCCACGAGTGTCCTTTGGGTTCATTCGGCAGCACCCCCTGCCGGCGACACACAGTGCCACAGCTCAAACTGTGACTCCCCTGCACCTTATCTGCAATGATCCACACCTTAGGTTATCTGCTCACACAAAACCATACATAGAATCATTACTATAACAATGGGTCAATTTATATTTGACGGTTTTAAATAAAGCATCATGTATAGAACTGGTGATTGCTTTAGACTGCACAGGAAGCATGGATTCTTCTAGATTCTCTCTCTCTCTCTCTCTATATATATATATATATATTTTTTTTTTTTAGTTTTAATATTATATTATATACAGTACCATTCAAAAGTCTGTGGTCCGTAAGATTTTTTAATGTTTCTGAAAGAAGTCTCTTCTGCTAACAAAGTCTGTATTTTTTTTAAATAAAAAAATACAATAAAAACAATAATATTGTGAAATTACAATTTAAAATAACATCTGTTTTATTATATTTGAAAATATAATTTATTTCTGTGATGGCAAAGCATAATTTTCAACAGCCATTACTCATGATTCTTCATAAATCATTCTAATATGCTGATTTAGTGTTAAAAATATATATATTTTATTATCAGTTTTGAAAACAGTTGTGCTGGGAACTGTGATACTTTTTTTCAGGATTATTTGATGAATAGAAAGTTAAATAGAACAGCATTTATTTGAAATATATATGCATTTTTCATCTAACATTATAATTATATAAGTATCCTTGTTGAATAAAAGTATGAATTTATTTAGAAAATAATATAAATAATAATATAAAAAATCATAATCTTGCATCTTGTTGTAAAAATACAGTTACACTTAAGTTTGATCAATTATTGATGTTAAGTAATTTTAGTCATTAAGTAAGCAGCTTTTAGGAGCAATACTAAGACACCAAGATATACAAACAGATCAGAGTACACATTTTTCCATTGATTAGTAACATCTGTGCTTCCCCACTTTTGAAAAGTATCAGTGGCCACTGATGTATTAACACCTTTTTATCAGTGTGACATGTATAGGTGTACCATTTTCATCTACTGTGTATACAGACGTCCTGCCCACTGACACCTGTTTAAGCTTCTGTCCGGTTGGAGAGGGGATGTGATACCAGCAATCTCCTGCAAACAGATCAAACCTTTCTAATGCTGCTGCAGAAATACAAGCAATGCTGCAACATCAGCATGACAGGCATGACTTGCATTAAAATGTAACGTAAGAGACAAGTATGTATTGTTGTATTTTCATGGGGTCATACATATACAGTAGGGATGCACCGAATGTTCGGCAACCGAAATTATTCGGCCGAAAATAGCAAAAAAATATCTTTCGGTGTTCAGCCGAATAAGCGAAAAGGCCGAATAATATGTACCGAACAATGACTAACGCGATCAAATAGAGGCACGCACTAATGCAGCAAACATGTCGGCAGTGTGAAAGTATTTAAATCTATCAGAGAAAGACGCAGAAATCATTACAAGCACGAAGCACCGACAGCGAGAGACTTTAGTGCTGCATCACATGTCTCCGATGAGAAGAAGAGGTGGCTGATGCTGGTGGTTAGGCTACTGTATGATGATTGAAATCGCGAAATGGCCTCAAACGATTAGCAAATAAACTGCAGAATGTTATATTTTCTAATGCACGCACGAATTGCATGTATTTCTGCCAGGGTTCAAAGTCCAAAGCGCGAGGAAAATCTGTGCTAAAACTGTGTTAATCGTCAGTTGCTCAGTAACATTTTTGTGAATTTTTTTAAAGGCATGTGGCAATGTGATACGTGCAACAAACATCTTCCCAAATTCGTAATGAATTCATAAATCTGCATGCTGTTATCAACAAAAAGAAGCACTGAGATTTTCCTGCGGGTTTCTAACGAAATAAAAGCCGAGAAAAAGCAACAACTCCATCAACATTCATAAATGTTAGTAGCCTATTGTAATTTTACTGTTATTCTGTAAAATAAAATAAAAAGTAAGACAATAATAATGATAATAATAATTACCCAACAACAGCTCTATTAATACATTTATTATAACATTCACACATAGTGTTCAAATTGGGATCTGTAATATATTCTAATGTTTTAAAAGAATTATTTTCTGCTCAACAAGGCTGCCTTTATTTGTACAGTAAAAAATACATGCCTGATTCAAGTCTCAAAAATGGCCAAAAAATATTTTACTAACTTATTAATTTTAAGTTAAATAGTGCTTTGTTGGTATAATGTCTGCTAGAATGTTAAAAAAATGTTCAGTGTTAAGTAAATATTTTTAAATTGTTGTTTTTTAATAGATTTTTTATTTGAAAAGCAGGACAAAACAGTAAAAAGCACATTTTGGCTATTTAATTTATGCAATGGTGAAAAAAAAAAAAAGGCAAAATAGGCCTACATGGGGGAAAAATGCGAAAAACCGTGTTCGGTATTCGGCCTTTAGCCCAGTGTTTCATTTTGTTCGGCTTCGGCCAAGAATTTTCATTTCGATGCATCCCTAATCTACAGGCTTTATGATAGAAGGTTATTCCCTCACCTGCCGGGTTCTGGGTGGACACAGAGCCCCTGAAGAACGTAGAGCCATCCTTAGCGATGGCCCAAACCTGGTGGACAGCACCTATGGAAATCAACTTGAAAGGCTGGTCGGTTCCAACATGTAACCATGACGACCCCTGTGATCAAGCCACATATTCAGTCAGGGTTACAATACATCATTCTGGGAAGCCTCTCACAGTCATAATGTTTGTGAAGTATTTGTACACTATTTGCATGGGAACTAACACAAAACCAATTAGTGGACTTCTAGAAAATAAGGAACTTGGCTCTTACTCCAGGGGTAAGTGAAGTGACACCCAGACGGCACAAGACGTCTCCTTTGTTGCTGATGGCCCATAATGGCACCTGTTCCACCGTGCTCTTTGGTCCACAAGGCAGGATTGTGATGTCACTCAAAGGTATAGGCGGGACTTCCTGCCAGGGGCCAGTTGTTGTGAGTTTACACTTTCTAAGGTGGAAGATGATGGTTAAGAATTAGTGATAGGAGTCAAATTTAACAATTACAAAAAATGGTTTCTTTATGATTACAATTTTGAGGAAGAGCACCAACACTGAATAAATATTTCTATTGGCTACTTGACAAAAATACTAAAACACTATGTTTGTTTTCGTCTTTTAATATTTTTTATTGTCATTTACTTTTTTACAATTTATTCCTATTAACTAAATTAATCCTTCTAAATGTCAATTTCAGTATGGTGGTACTGCACAGGCAATATGCAGATGATCAAAAACCCTTTACCGAATCGTGTCATAAAAATCATTTGAGTTACAGTACTTTTAAATTGATTTTGTTAACACTTTATAATCAGGTCCCGTTTGTTAATATTAGATAACTACATTAGTCAACAGGTGCTAACAATTAAAAATATTCCTATATTAATTGCTAGATACCTGGCCCAATGTCTGCGGCGGACAAAGTCCTTCAATGTTTTATATCCGTGGTATGACCTAGAAGGTGAATACATTCAGAAAAATCAAAGCGTTAGCTCGGTCTCACACTTCCAAGATTGTGCTTTTTTATGTTATAAAATACACTGGCAAAGCTAATAACCAATATCACTTACGCAGGAAAGTCAGCTGCATACTGCCAGCCCTCTCTGTCTGTCCCACCTGGCACAGCATAGTCAATAGTCCAGTCTGACACCTGCAAAATATTACGGAGCATGCACACATACAGCGGTTTGCAACTATGAAGCAGCCGGATGTCATTCACAGTTAATTTCAGTGACAAGTTCTTTATGTATTGGGAGGAAATAAATAACAGCACAAACCCAAGTCCAGTTGGGGGAGGGTGGTTTTGTGTTGTTTTTAGTGCACTCCTTCAGACCCGAGGCATCGCTCCACATGTAACGGTCAGTAGGGAGACCCCTGGAGGAGAGACAGTGAGGCACAGCAGAAAGCATACTGAACACTACTGGATTACAAACATCATGCTCAGTATTAACCTGTTAGTGTAACCAGTGACAGGATTCCAGCGCTGGTTCTCATAGATAGAAACACTCTTCACGTCAGTCTGTGTGTAGATGTTATCTGTGCTGCTTGCCAAACCTGTGTGTGTGAGATAAATACATTATGTTATTAAAATACATGAAAAACACTGGTTTAGAAAGAGGTGACGCATTTACCCTGGAAGAAGCCTCCTCCATAGCCTCCTGTGTGGACCCAGGCAGTGTGGTCATAGCCAATCCCCCACACCACACCAAGACTGTTGGACTCAATAATACGCAAATGCCCTCCGACTTGACGCCAGAACCTGTCCATGATAAAGATTTTTGTTTTGTTTTTCTCACAGAGCAGTCATGGACAAATATAACGTTTATGAATATACACTTGTTCAAAAGTTTGGGGTCAGTAAGATTTTTTATTTTTTTTTTAAGAAATCAATACCTTTATTCAGTAAGGATGCAAAATAAGGATGTAAGGATGTGAAAAATAAAGACCTGTACATTGTCTATAAATGCTTTATATTAAGAATCCTGAAAAAAATGTATCATGGTTTCCAAAAAAATATTAAAACAGCTGTTTTCAACATTGATAATGATAAGAAATGTTTTTTAAAAGCATCAAATCGGCATATTACAATCATTTCTGAAGGATCATGTGACACTGAAGAAATCGCTGCAGAAAATTCAGCTTTGCCATCACAGGATATATACCGTATGCCATCATAAATTACATTTTAAAATATATTAGTAAAACACTTATTTTAAATTAATAATATTATTATTCTGAATATTTCACATTAATACTGTTTTTACTCAATAACACTAAACTTTTAAAGGTAATTCTTTAATAAGGGGTTCATTGACCTCTTTAAACTGTTTCATCTATGTTAAACATTTATCACAAGGCTTTTTGTCTTTTTTGAACTTTCAAGTGAATTTTGGTATAATGTGTGATGCTGTGGATCTTTTGATGTTATGTGTGACTGTAATGATGCATGCTATTACTATTATTATTATTTTTCTTTTTACATTTTTCACAAGTTTTTGGAAAAACCCAATGGTTCTGGTGAGACAATGTTCTTAGTGCATTGTAGCTTCACTTGATTTTAACACTTAATACATTTACTATAAAAATGTATTAAAAAGTTGAGAGTAGTTAAATATCTGGATGGGGGACAAGCCTAAAAATGAAACATTTTAAGACTCTTAAAAAAAAAGTTTGACGGTACTATAATCCATCCTTTAAGTAGGATTCTTGTTTTTAAAAAAAAAGGGTTCAGAAGTGGTCCACTGACTGAAGAATCACTTATTTACAGCAAACTTGTTCACAAAAAAATCAATCAATCATCTGATTCTTACATCTGATCACACAAGTTTTTGGAAGAACCCAATGGTTCTGGTGAGATAATGTTCTTAGTGCATTGTAGCTTCACTTGATTTTAACACTTAATACATTTACTATAAAAATGTATTAAAAAGTTGAGAGTAGTTAAATATTTGGATAGGGGACAAGCCTAAAAATGAAACATTTTAAGACCCTTAAAAAAAAAGTTTGACGGTACTATAATCCATCCTTTAAGTAGGATGCTTGTTTTAAAAAAAAAAGGGTTCAGAAGTGGTCCACTGACTGAAGAATCACTTATTTACAGCAAACTTGTTCACAAAAAAATCAATCAATCATCTGATTCTTACATCTGATTACAGGGTGTAGGGTAGGGAATTGCCTCTAGTTCTTTTGTGGGTTCGCTCACAAAGATGTCACCCCTACAGGTGACCGACCAGATGGCTTGTTTCGAGGGAGGGCCCTGAATACCTCTAGAGTCACAGCAAGACACACTGAGCAGAGCCAGCTGATAAGATGAACAAACTGTCAGTCAAACAGCAAGGTAATCACAAAGTGCAGTGCAAGTTGTTGAGAATCAATGATTAATGTTCTCTCCTCACCCAGTCGTGCATCTCCAGCTCTGTGGGCGCAGCCAGGCGGATAGGCCACCTCTGTTTGGTTCGCTCTGCTGTATAGATGGCAAATGTGTGTTTGGAGTCATTCAGTACTGGCACCAGGATTGTCACTTCATTAATGAACACATGGAGATACTGGACAGAGAAAGAACAGAAAAGACACAAAGCAAAGGTAAAACGGGTTGAACTGATCAAATAAGTCAATTCTAGACCACATAAAATCACTTTACAAGCACAGATTTGTTCATATACACTATCATTTAAAAGTTTGATGTTGGTAAGATTTTTCAATTATTTTGAAAAAAAGTCTCATGCTCATCAAGGCTGCATTCATTGGATAATTAATATTTATTTTGACTATTATTTTTATTTGACAAAAATACAAAAACAATAATATTGTGATATATTAATAAAACGTTCTATTTTTTATGATGTTTTTCTAATATGCTGATTTGGTGCTCATGAAACATTCCTTATTATGTTGAAAAACGTCTGTGCTTAATATTTTTGTGGAAACGGTGATACATTTTGTCAAGATTCTTTAATGAGCAGAAAGTTCAAAAGTATAACATTTATTTTTGAAATAGAAATCTTTAGTATAATTACACATCTTTACTATCATGTTTGATCAATTTAATGCACCCTTGCTGAATAAAAGTATTAATTTCTTAAAATAAAATCTTTGATCAGTTGTGTATTTCCTACAGAAACGGTTAGCAAGGCCTTGTACGTTTTTGTATCAAGATCTTGTACATTTCAGATACTTTTATTATGTTCCAGCTACAGTATAATAATGTGGAATTAATATTTAGTCCATTTTCCCAGTAGCGAAAAGATAAATGTGTGCCAAAAAAGAATTTGATCAACTTTTAGCAGTACACTAACCTTACTAGATGGCCTCAAACTAATAAACATGGATTTAAATCCACAAAACTACAATTCTGATTCCATAACGGATGTGAGGTTACCTTTTTTTCATCATTAAAGGTGTAGTAGATGAACAGAATCCCATCCTTGTTGCCCTCTGCTCCTGAAAACTGCTCCAGTGCAAACTGAACATCCACCCACTTATGAGGTTTCCAGTCTCGCCACCACTGCATGGTGCCCTTCTTCACCCACACAGACTATGAGAAGAACAGGAATCAGGGTGAGTTATCAAATTAGACACTTTTTTAGTAACTCTTCAGTTCTACCAAGCTGAGGACCACTGTCACTGTAACTGTTGCTCTGACTTTTGATCTAACTCTTGGAGCACTTGTATATGAACACTTACTGTTGCTATATCAATGACAATCTGGATATAATCCAAAAAAAAAAAAAAAGATAAATGACAAACCTGGTTAGTATTGATAAAAACATCAAATGAGATCAACTGTTTTGTGTGTGAGGACTACCTGTTCAATAGCCTGCTCATAATGCATGAAATTCTCCATTTCCCTCTTGGAACGCTCACTGAGCTGCTCAAATATCTGTTTACGCCATTCTGCCGTTTGAGCAGGTGTAATGGAGTGAGACATGGCCTGCATGGAGGAGTTCAGGGCTGAGGAGACAGTCACATTTGGCACAGTCAAGTACAAAGTGAATCATCAAATTCAGTTACACAGAAGGTAATAGGGCTGCACGATACGTGACATTGCGATTTTTGCTTTCCTACAATGTTGCAAAAAAAAAAAGAAAAAGCTGAAATAATCTTTTGACCAATTCAATATGACTATGAAATAATAATTATTTTTATTGTGATTATGAAATAAAAAATTAAACATAATAAACAAAATAAGAAACATATTGCAATAATATTGTAAAGAATACAGTAAAAGAAAAGAAAAATATTTTACTGTAAAATTACAATACTAATATTTATATTCTAATTTCTTCATTTTCAAACGTTAAAACAATTAAGCTTTTATTTTGACGGTTTGCCAGCAAATAAAAACATGCGCTGCCAGTTTCATATTGAAGCTTGGCACTATGTGTTCAATGACACGCGTGGAGCCCATAATATCAGCGTCACAGTAAATGAACCAAGCTGTTCTCAGAAGCTGAAGCACTGTATAAATGCTGCACTTAACTTTGAAACCGGTTAAGCGTATATTAAATTAATTAAACCTTGACAATTGCACTACGCCATATCGCAATATCGATTTTCTTTCAACACATCATGCAGGCCTACATGATACCCGGCTGACCTGTGGCTGTAGATGAGTTGAACCAGTTGAGCTGTGTGTGACACTCAACCAAACATCCCCCACCGCTAACCCAGGCCCATTTTGGATGCTCATCTGGCCCATAAGGCTCCTCCAGGGCCAGGATATAGGTGACTACAGAGGACAGGCTGCTGGTTTCAGCTGTGTCTCCAGGTCCAGATGCGAGGTGTGTCTGGGCTTCCTCTAGGTCAACATTGCTCCATTGAGGATCCACCCCACTTGATTGGCTAGGAGACAGAACCTGTGCTGGGGAAACCCTGTCCTCCACCTCTTTTTCTGTGTGATCCTCCTCAGGAATAGATGGGCCAGCTGGGGGGGCGTCACGGCGACTGATTTGGCCATCACGGTCAGACACAAGCTCTGAGATGAAGTTGTCACTGGTCACTTTGGGGATGCGTGGTTTAAGGGCGTCTCCCATCTCAGGTGTTGGGACCACTTCAGCCCCGGTTCTTTCAGTCTCAGGGTCTGCATCACCCAACACTGATGCATGGGACTGCAGACGCACCTCACCACCAAAGAAACAACCAGCGCTGTGAGGTGTAGAGACACACATTGTTAACATGTACAGCACCAGAAGTCTGGAATCACTTCGACATGTTTATATTTTTGAAAGAAAATTTATATCAAAAAGAGTCAAAAACATTATTCATGTTTCCGATAAATGTTAGACATTTTAACCTGTTATGACAAACTGCTTTCTGTATCCATCAATCCAGTCTACTAAGAGAACATCTAATGAAATTGTCAATTATCTAGCCCCTCTAATAAAAACGCATTGGAATTCACTGAATTGTGCAAAAACACTTTAAAATTAACAACTAATATGTTAAATTAAATAACAACTAAAAAAACTATCATTAAATGAAAATAAATATTATTTGTCACATATGACAATACATTGCAAACTATTTTTTAATAATACCCAACATTTAATGAAAAATATAAATATTATTTCTGTCACATATGACAATACTTTTATGCCACATTGTCTTTTTCAGATTCTAAATTATTGACTCCACTTGCATTGTTGAAGTCTACTTTCAGTTTTAAAGAAACACCTTTCTCTAGAAATTAATCAGTCTATTGTTCTTTTGAGGGATGAAGGCTGATCAATGCTTCAAGCCCTGTTCCCACTGCCAACCATACGCACGCAGTGACAAAACAACCTGATCCCATTCATTTAACTTCTGTCGTTCATTCAGTGACTTCTGGTCAGACGAGTGACGAGTGACAGTGGCTGGATGTAGGCGTAACAGGATGTAGGCGTGTCCAACATGACAATGTTGAGAAATGTTTAACTTTTTGTAGATTAAGTGTGACTTTCAGGAGCGACAACCAATAGGAGTGCGTATTGTGTCAGAGTGCAGCACATGTCGGCCATCATATGTCTACATTATGTTCATCATATGTATATAATCAGATTAATGAATGCACTGAGCACAGAATGTTACTTTCTATTCTTTTAATATCCTAGTTTTACTGGCAATATATGTCATTTGCAATAACACCTCTAAAGAAAGGTCTACCAATAACATTAGCACAACTGAACTAGGAATGTCTACTAGTGACACGAAGTTAACTAACCTCTGAAGGCTGCTTGCGCTGGCGCTAGAGTGGGAACGTTCACTATCTCTGGGCACAGACACAACCTTCCAGGCCTTTCCACTCAGCTCGCTGGCAGTCACACCCTGGCGGAAATATACGGCCCGGTCTTCAAAACCAATAGCCCACACCTGAGCACAGAGACACATCACATGACCTTCACAGATCTCAGTGTAATAACTGCTGAAATGGTTTTAGAACATATCATTCTCACTAGAAACACATTCTTAGATGAATACATAAATATGGCATAATATATGGTATTTTAACACCAATATTTTTACATTTGTGTATAATGTTTCACACAAGAAAAATGACATTTATACCACATTTTCATATTTGTATTTATTTATCTCATTAGGGATGCAACGATTCACTCAACTCACGATGCGATATGATTCACGTAACTGATTTCACAATATGATTTTCTCACGATTTTTAAGACAAATTATTAATGAAAAGGTGTTCTTTTATTATTGCTTGGACAAAATGCTGCACATTTATTTGTGAAATTGAAATGTCAAATAACAAAACTAAATTTAAATTTGAAAACAAACCTCAAATCTAATCAAATAAATAATCAAATAAAAAAAATCTCTTCATATAAACAAGGGCTTGTGCTCTTTCCATTCAAAATTAGAGGCAACCACTGCATTTGAATCACAAACAAAGATGCTGTGTACATGCAGCATGAGCAGCTTTTTAATCTAAATTAGATTGTATAGTTTGAAATTTGAAAACAAAAACAGAATGCTCTGACTTTAGTTTTGTGAAGTCCTTTGTTACCGCTGTAAACAAAGCAGCGCTGTGCTTATAAACAGTCAAGATGAAAAGAAATTACCATCTAAACTTTTCTAAAGACAGTCAGTTCCCCTCAGAGATACACTGATATAACCTCCCACCCCCAAATATATCGCGATTCGTTTAACATCTCAACCGATTTGAATCGTCACATTTTTGTATCGATGTTCAACCGGCTCGCGATGCATCGTTACATCCCTATAATCTCATGGATTAATACATTGATTCATATGAAAGTTTCTGGGTTAAGCCTTCAAAAGATTTTAAGTGTCTTTTTTCTGCTGTTTTCTGCTTTTTGTGTTGAAATGTGTACCACACAAGTACAATTATTCAATGTAAAATCAGAGACAGGAATTAATGAGAGGAAACATTACTAATCTCTGACCTGGTCATTGAAACCCACGTTGATCATAGCCATCTCTCCAACCATACCTATCCAACCTGAACCACAAGGATTATGAGAATTCACACCCCGTCTAAACCAGACCTATTAGAAGTAAAGAGATGTGGAAAAACAAGCTTAGTAACAATAATAAAAAAGTACATATCGGTTCAAAAGTTTGGGGTTGGTAAGATTTTTCAAATGTTTTTTAAAGAAGTCTCTTATGCTCATCAATGCTGGATTTATCTAATCAAAAATACAGTAAAAACAATAATATTGTAAAATACTGTTTTATTTTACAGTACGTGTACTTCCCTGGTACATACACGGCAAATATCTTGCAGGCAAATGAGTGGTAACACAAGGTGCTTACCTGAAGTGTATGTACATGGTAACAAATAAGACACACGGCTGTACTTAACAGTCGTGTAGGTACAAGATATTTGCCATGTATGTACCAGGGAAGTACACGTACTGTAAAATAAAGTGCTACCAACATTTCTTATTATTATCTTGAATCAGTTGTTTTGCCTGACACATTTTTCATTTTAGGATTCTCTGATGAATAGAACATTCAAAAGGCAGACAGCATTTATTTGAAATAAAAATCTTTTGTAACAATGAAAAAGACTTTAGTGTCACTTTTGATCAATTTTATGCAACTTAGATAATCAAATGTATTAATTTCTATCAAAAATTTAATTTTTTATTTTTTACTGACCTCAAACTTTTGAACAGTAGTGTAAATATTCTATATTCTAATATAGGCAATATATTATGAATTATAATATAACTTGTATTACAAAAATATTAATAAATTGGAATAGAAGCATTTTTATTAGTGGTCTCAGGCTTTGGACTCCACTGTATGTGTAAGTGTAAAATTATATTAATTAAAATATGACTTACTTTATGATCTTTAGTGACAGCCCACACTACATTCACACCAACAGCTACGTGTGCGGCAGCCACTCCAGTGTCCGGCGACTCCACCATGACCCATGATGACCCTGTGATTACATCAATATCATCGAATGTCTATCATCTACCCAAATTTTTATTTTTGTTTGTGTGTGTGTACTGAACCACTACACTCACCCTTCAGGCAGTCTCTGCCAATGCCCTCTCTGACCAGCAGATCACCCTCCCACAGGACAGCCCACACCAGGTCACCCGGGCCGCAGCTGATCTGCACAACCTCCCCTGGTACTGGCACCTCCTCCCAAACGGAGCCCTCGGGATTATGGTGGTTGATGCCACACCGGAACCACACCTGCTCGAAAGTAAAAAAAAATTGATCTTCTTGTCGATAAATGGAAATTAATTTGAGTTCTAAGAACTCAAGGATTCATACACTCTGTATAGCTTTGTAAGAACTGAAAAATGTATGAATTATAAAAGCATGGGGTGTTGTTGGACACTGTATGTAAGGCTGGAACAAACGGAGTTCTGACCTTTCCCTGCAGAGAGACCGCCCACAGTGACAAACACCCTCTAGGCTCCTCAGTGATCTCCCAACCACCACAAGTGATGTCATTAAACGGGTCAGGAAGAGATCCAGTCTGTTCTAAGGGGATCTGCTCTCACATATAAAATTCAAGGACACATACGTTTTTCCATCAACATTAAAGAGAAACACTTATGATAAGTCCTTTGTGCTGGTACAGACCTTGACCCAAGTTTCCTGTGCCTTGTACCTTCTGTATCGTATCCATCTGCGGCGACGCACGCAAGAGTTCCATTTTTTGTCTTTTGTGTAAGTGGCTGGAAAATCAATGGCATATGTCCATCCCTAAAAACACACAGAAGATCAGCTATGGCTAAAAGCAAGTGTAAGCTGTGAAATAACTTTTTTTCATGATTTTAAAGATGTCAATACTGACCGCTTTCTCTGTGGGTTCCCCTCCAAAGTTTTCATCCACATACCAGTCGGCCTCCCACTCCCAGTTCTCAGAGGGCAGCTGAAAGTCACCCAGAGGCTGGTGCTTCAGCCCTGTGACATCACTCCACTGCCAGCGGTCACTGGGCAACAGCCGGTCCGAGAAGCCATCTACAGGGTTCCACCACGCTTTTATTCAAAGCAACTTACAAATGAGGGCAATAGAAGCAATCAAAACAACAAAAGAGCAACAATAAATAAGTATTGTGACAAGTCTAACACACATCAAGTTAGTCTAACACAGTACACGTAGCAACGTTTTTATTTTTATTTTTATAATAAAAATAATAAAAAGTAGATAGAAAGAGATAGTGTTAGAGGGTCCAGTTATTATTATTTTTATAATAATTAAAAAGAAAACAAGTAGATAGAATAGAAAAAGAATAGAGAACGCTAGCGGCAACAGCCGGTCCGAGAAGCCATCTACAGGGTTCCACCTCTGTCAAGGAACAGGAAACACAAAAGTGAGTCTCATTTCATAATAAATGCTCTAGGGTTAACAAAAAATAATAGTGTTTATGACAAAATCTAGTTTCAACCACATGTAAAAGTTTTTAGCATGTACTCTTTGTATTCATGTTGCAATGAATACTTATAACTTATTTTCATACACCTTGAATACATGTGAGTAAATAAATGCTAATATTTATAAAAATAATAATATTAATAATAAGGTATATATATATATATATATAT